CCCCAAAACCCCAAAACCCCAAAACCCCTCAAGTCGAAATTGATAATTGAAATAAGGAGTGTTTAAATAAAGAAATTAAATAGTTTGGACATATATATGATTAATTATGTCAATCGTCAGATAATTCAACATTATATATTTTCCCGATAAACATTACAAGATTGAAAAACACTATTGACTGCAAGCTGTTGTATTGAACTCTAGCCATTATTCCTTTGGTGAACAACCCAAATCTCTCCTTCTAAATTAGTTCTCGAATATTTAAGTCAGGATTTGCCTGCTTGTTAATTGTGATAACATCTAAGCAATTAGTAATTCCACTTCCTACAGCACCTCCTATAAATGAAGCTTTCATATTTGAGGAAAACTCATGATCCTTAAAATTTTCTCCGTATAAAATCTTATCCCTCGCCATCATATATTCATAGATAGTGAATTGTAGTGATACACATGAGCAATAAGTTAGAAGGAATGGGAGCGAGCCCTTATATAAACTAGCAATTGACCCTTACTATATTTCTTTACTAAATGCGTGAGGGATATTCCTATACTTAAAAACATAATTCTTCGACTACAATCTGCATTTGACCAAGTCATAGGGATAATATACAATAAGGGTAAAGAATTCTGCTACAAATGAAGCCATAAAATAGGTCCAGGCGATATTATAGGTTTCTCCGAAAAAGTCTTTAAAATAGATCTTAAACAGCTTGTAAAGTGAGAAATAGATAAATCCACATGCTACAGATCCATAATAGCATGCTGAGAATCCCTTCAGAAATCCATATACTCCTTCTTTGACATAAATCTTTCTAACCATGCTCATCATCGAAATATTTGATTCATGCACTTTAGCTCTGACATTGATCGTATCAATAAAGTGAAATCCTGCCTCAACCATCACATTAGCTAATGATCCTGCTACTCCCATCCTAAATATTTCATTTTTGCTATTAATTGATTATTTGCAGCAAAAGCCATAAGTCGCTGTGAATGCAGCACCAACCAAAATACGGCGTCTATGAAAATGCATAAAATTGACTGCCTTTTGAATTTTTGAGCTTATCATATTTCTCAATTTTATTCAGAAAAACTCGATGATTAATCACCACCTTTAATTTAAATTTATAATTATCATAATATTAAAATCAATAACTAACTATTAGAAAAATAATGTAAGCTAAATTATTTTTAATAAAATTTCATTTAGAGTAATTTTTCAATCATCAATTTTCAGCTCATCTTATGATTCTCAACAAACCCTCATCTTCTTCATTATTGACACTTACATAGCTTATTTGCACTTTTGCCCCTTTTTCTATTTCCTTTATCATGCTTTGACAATTCACTGGTAAATCATCGAATTTTTCAATTTCACTAGTCTTTTGTTTCCAGCCCTTCATTGATTTGTAAACTGGAGAGAGCTTTGCAAAATCATCGATCAAAGTTGGATGAATTCCTTCAACCAGGGACTCTTCAATCTTATACTGTTTGCAAATCTTAATTTCATCTAGTTCATCTAAAATATCGACTCCCGTTAAGTATATAGAGGAAAGCTGATTTAACATATGAGCATGCCTGATTGGATTAAGATCTAACCAACCAAAGTCAAATGTATCACTAGTTATATCGTATTCTTCATTCAATTTCTTTTTCATTGATTCATAAGCTGGATCTGTTGATTGCACTTAAGAAGGGAATGTTTAAATTCTATTCAGGAATGCTTTCCTAATGATAGATGCAACTGACATAACTCCAATAGTAGTTTCTATTGCTTCTTCTGGCACTCCAAGACCTGTACAAACTGCACCAGTCGTAGTGTTGAAGCTGTCAGTGTATGGATAGATTCCAAAATCAACATCCATAAGACTGGTACTGCAATCTTCTACTAAAATTCTCTTTCCGTCATTAATCTTTTGATTTAGAAGCACTACTGTGTCAGTCACCATCTTATACTTTATTAAGACCTCTTAAAGTTCTCTGAGTTAATCAAGATCTTCTTACATTTCTTCATTGGTAAATTCAACTTTAAAGAGTTCAGAGAAAGTGCTTTGGACTCTTTAGTATTTTTACTCAAATAGTTGCCAGGGCTCAACAAGGTTCGCAACTCTTAATCCCATTTTCATAGGCTTGAAAGCCATGCTCACATCTTCCCCATTAATCCAAATTGTATCATTTCTCAATTCTCTAAGTCTTTTAGCAATCTTCTTGTGAAATGCAGTTTCAATATGAGCTCTTTTTTATTAGAATATTAAAAATGATTAATAATATACCTATTTGAAATATAAAGCCTCTCTTTGTAATCAATTCCATTGTTCTCAAGTGCATAAATATCATGTAAAAGATGCTTAGCATCAATGATGACTCCGTTACCTAGAATGCTCTTACACTTAATACTATGCTAAATTCCAACAGGCAATATCTTCATTGCATCACCATTAGGAAGAATGTCTAAATAAAGGGTTAGTTTTCTATTCTTAAGGGAATTTATAAAAAATATCTACTGAAATTAAAGTAGAATATGGAGGGATGTAGCATTTCCTTATTGATGATACTTACTTGGTTCACTGAGAGTACCACCATTAAAGCGGCATGAATAGTCATAATCAACACAAAGTTTGTTTAGTAATTTTCTTTTTCCTTCTCTACCCCACTGGAGACCTAGGACAAGGCAAAATTTTGAGGTTAAACCGTCATTGCATGCTGAGGCTCTGGAAAGTTTTTTAGCTACTTTCAACATCTTTAATCGTGGTTAGGAATTTTATCTATTATTAATTATTATTTTATTACTTTCCTTTGTTTTTAATCTAATCTTAAATTAAGGGGTTTTGGGGTTTTGGGG